ACACACACATTCGGCCACCCCAGCCCAGGATTGACTGCAGGAGGCTCCAGGATCAGTTGTTCAATCCTGACCGACCAGGTTGGTTACCACTGGTTTACATGGTAAAGAAAGGGAATGTCATGTGATTATTTGTGTTATTAGGGGTCTATTTTTTATGGCCTTGGAGTCTTATTCCTAGGTGGTGATCTGCCTACACTTGCTGACAGAGAAGATATCTGGGTTCTGACTTTTTGCAAAATATCTATTTTCTGCTTTTCAGTGAGATATGATGAACTATATGCCTTCTCTTACAATCCAAAGCAGAAGGAGTCTGAACAGGTGAAAGGCTGGCAGCTTATTGATTTAGCAGAAGAATATAAGCGGATGGGAGTGCCAAACACCAACTGGCAGTTATCTGATGCAAATCGTGATTATAAGGTAAAAGATAATGGACAATTTGGCAGCAGAGGAAAATGATGTACATTTATCTCTGTCGCATCTTGACCTTACAACCGCTGATTCCAGTCCAGCAGGAAATATCTGTAATGCTGTGAAAACCTCAAAACTCTTGAATTTCAAGCTTTTTCCAATAAAGTGAAACCGGAGGCATAGTGGGATAGCCAACTTTTTATGAGCAAGGGGAACCTTTGGACAGCATGGTTTATTTCTTATTTTGATGCTGAGCTAGAGTAATTTTGTTCTTTGCTGCCTTTTTAGCTCTCAGGAAGGATTTTGCATTGGTATTAGCAGAGTTGAGGTGTGACACTCCTGCTTCTATTGAGGTTAAAACATAAATTCCAAAATAAAAATACATTTTAAATAGAAAGATGAGTTCCGGCTCCATTTGAAAAAAGTTCTTTGCATTATTATTCCTAGAAACCAATTTTCAGTAAGTCTCAATCTTATTAAACTGATGTTGGTGTCTCAGTGTACTGTCACACTGAATGTTGAGATTTTTATCATTCTCTCTTATCAGTTTATTCTTTTATCTCATGCAGTATGCTTTTTCTCTGGTTTTTCCTAGTGAAAGAAAAACTGCAGGCTTTTTTTTTTTTCTAACTTCTGGGCTATTTAGCTCTGCACTGAATGCTGGGCCTATTGATTTGGGAGTAGGGAGAGAAGTTAAGGAAATAAATGTAGCTAGCAATCAGTTGTTCATGGCTAGAAGTTGCACTGAATTTAAGGGGCTTGCAGATGAAATAGTTATGTTGTATGTTTGTTGTGTTTTACAGGTTTGTGAAACCTATCCTAGAGAACTTTATGTTCCCAGAATTGCAAGCAAACCCATAATTGTTGGTAGCTCCAAGTTCAGAAGCAAAGGAAGATTCCCAGTGTTGTCATATTATCATAGAGACAAAGAGGTATAGTCTGATTTCCTTCCAGTGCGAGTGGGCTAAAAACTTTCTCAACAGGTGACACAGGTTCAGGAAAGAAAAGGAGGCAAGTATAATAACCTGGTTCCACTGAACTGTGATTATTTCTTAACTTGTGACACTGTGCCTAACAAAACGGTAGGTTATACTTAGCCAATTGTAACATTTTCAGACTTTTAATATAGGACCTTTAAGATCGTTGAGAGGTCACAGATCTCTTCTAGAAATCTATCCTGCTATTTGGGAGTGTCAAGAATAGCACTCTGAACAAACAGATTTGAAAACCTGCTTTGAGCAGGGGGTTGGACTAAATGACCTCCTGAGGTCCCTTGCATTACAAATTTTCTATGATTTTATGGATCCATGGCAGTAAATTGCTGTGGAGGGACAGATGGATGGAAAAGGGCAATGTCTTGGCTTGCTTTTTTTCCTATTGTAAGCCTTTCTGCCTATCTTAGCAGGGATCCTGATTTTCTCTGTTTAAAAATCCAAAGTTCTCTGATAGAAAGCCCCAAATTCTCTGATTTAAAAACCTCAACATTTGCATTTTTTCCACAATTAAAATGAAACGCATAGGTAGAGTATCAGTTGAACGCAACTTGGAAACCTACCAGTGCCTTCATCATTATAATAAAATAAATTGTAAATACCTATATGTTTTGGCGTTTGACTTTGGTTTTTATATCATGGAAAATCAGAGCTCCCCCTGCCCTCTTCCTCTCACCAGGATGCAGGTCTAGCTGCAGCTGTCCCATCTGCTGCCTTGTGGCACTGAGCAGCCCTGTTCTTTTCAGCTTATCATTTTACTGTGTAATTTTTAGACCTTGTTGCACTTAAACATTTTGAAATTCGTATGTCTAATGTGTTCCTCTAGCAGTGTTCATTATCAGTTTGCAAATTGATTCTTTGTTTCTGTACTAGGCTGCCATTTGCAGATGCAGTCAACCTCTCTCAGGCTTCAGTGCCAGGTGTCTGGAGGATGAGCACATGCTACAAGCAATCAGTAAAGCTAACCCTGCTAATCGCTATATGTATGTCATGGACACCAGACCTAAAGTATGTATTTGCATCAGAGCTGCAGCTTAGGCTTCCATTACCTTATCACTCCAAACATTAGGAGGCAGTGTTGGGGATAGTATCAGGTTCAGTGGGGTTGCTAATATACCATATAGTGCTCTTAAGCCTTAGATCATTGATTCAAGTTTGGTGCACATCAGTTATGGCCAAAAGATTGTTAATGCTTTCTCGTATGATGTGTGGCCTACCTGAGAGGACTTTGGTAACAGTTGGCATTTGTAAACATGTATGCGCCACAGCACCGGGTGCTTTTAAAACTGCTTAGCATTGCATCGCGTGCATTTGTATAAATGGTGAAATGCACGAGTGATGAGAAAATGGTGGCAGCGCACTTTTCAACTTTTAGTTCAAAAGCACACAGCTGCCATTTTCTCAGTGCTCTCACGCATTTCGCCATTTATACAAATGCATGCGTTGTAGTGCCAGGTGTCGGCTAGTGTACTCTGCAGACTTAATTAGTCGAATCTGCTCCAAAGTGCTGGATTTCTGGTGCATCAGAGCAGACAAAGGTACGTGTATAAATGCCTATTATTTAGAGCATAGCACCACTATACAAATTAAAAATAAACATCTTTCTCTGAAGGCAGAAAAGAAACCGCCTCTTCTTGTTCAGACAGATAGCTAAACTAAGTGAAATGTACTTCACTAGGGATTTCTAGCCAAGAGTTTTGAAAAAGATAGCTGAATTGAACTGCTATAGTTAAGCAATAAGTGGCTTTTATTTTTAAAGGTGCTAGGTATCTTTCTATGAAGTTAATGGGAACTGTGGGTTGCCCAACACTTTTGAACTTTAGGCCACTCTATTAGCATAGAATGCAAAAGGATGAGAAGTTTGCCAGCTGAATTAAAATGAGCATGTCTTAAAATCTGGAGAGACTAGAAAAGAATGTGTACATCATCATGTTAGCATTCATAGCCTTTCTAACGCACCAATATCAAACTGTTTTGTTCAGATATCATGTAAGCAGTTTTTAGTCTCCTTTACTTTTCTGTAGTCAAAAGTCAGATTGAGGCAGAGTAGGTGGTAGGTGTGTAATTGTTCACAATCAAGGGTCACCTGTTTGAAACCAAAATAAAGTGCCACATAAATCTTCATATCCCCTCCCTGTCTCCCTTTTATATTTCATCAGCAGTATAAAATACTTCACTGTGTTGATGTTTGCTCAGTTATTAGGATTCATTCTTGTCATCCCATTAGGACAGAGGTGGGCAAAATGCGGGGGCTGGATGTGGCCCGCCAGGCCATTCTATCCAGCCCATGGGGCCCCTAAAAAATTTAGAAAATTAATATTAATCTGCCTTGTTCTACCTGTCATGCAGCCCTCGATGGCTTACCAAAACTCAGTAAGTAGCCCTCTACCCCAAATAATTGCCCACCCACCCCTGCATTAGGATGAGTGGCAGTACATACTTATTGGGACTTGTTTCACAGCTTGAGTGGTGTACCTGTGTTGGTTCCATTCAGAAGTTTGTTTCAAATTTCTTTGTGACAATAAAGATTAGAAAATTAATTTCTTTAAAAAGAAAATGTAATATCCAGAGCACAAGAGAGGCCCAGGAAAACTTGGGGAGATACTAAGATTTTTTTTTAATAAT